AATTCAAAATATTCAATGGTACCAACCCAAAATTAAAACATTCATAACCATCATCTTATCATAATAATAACAATAAAACAACACATTAAATGAGACCTTATCATTCCTTATCAATGAATATGAATTCATAAAAATGATAAGCTACCGACGGAAACGCTTCACTGATAAGAAAATGATAAGACACCATACTGATAAGAAACTGATAAGGTGATATGACATCTCACTGATAAGGAACTGATAAGGTAATCAGATAACTCGCTGATAAGGAACTGATAAGGTGATAAGACATCTCGCTGATAATGAACTGATAAGATGAGAAGATACTCCGCTGATAAGAAACTGATAAGGTAATAAGATAACTCGCTGATAATGAACTGATAGAATGAGAAGATATCTCGCTGATATAGTGATAAGGCATCCCACTGATAAGGTGATAAGACATCTCACTGATAAAGTGATAAGGCATCTCACTGATGAGGAACTGATAAGGTAATAAGATAACTCGCTGATAATGAACTGATAAGGTGATAAGACATCTCACTGATAAAGTGATAATGCATCTCACTGATGAGGAACTGATAAGGTAATAAGATAACTCGCTGATAATGAACTGATAAGGTGATAAGACACTACACTGATAAGATGATAAGACATCCCACTGCTAAAGTGATAATACATCCCACTGATAAGAACTGATAAGAAGCTGATAAGACCAAACCTAGCCAAAGCAATCGCTCGACTAAAATTCTCGGCCACAAAGCACGCATCCTCTTTACACTCATTAATCACGTACGTCTCTTCCAAAACGTTCAGCTGTCGATACGATAGCCACTCCTTGAGCAAATTCGTCAGCACCTTGCCGCCGATATCGATCCTGAATTTCAGGTTTAATTTCAGGTCAGTACCACAAAATAAATAAATAATCACCTCATAATAGCGTTCCTGACGGCCACCCCCTCACAATACGGCACAATATGNGTAAATGAATACCCCGAGTCCACCACCACACAACAACGTTCACTCCGATACTCCGTTGAGATGGTGTCCGCACACGCGATCAGGGAACTCGCTTTAATATTATTATTATTATTTAATTAATTAATTAATAATATATAATAATAAT